AAATCCTCATTAGTGATATGGCCAATATACAAACCACAGTGGTATCGTGGAGAGGAAGAAACAGAATCTGACCCCCTTTGTAAGATGCTTATAATATCCCCGAAGAGGGGGGGGGGAGAACTCCATTCCTCTGCAGTCTATTCACAATGTTCTTTTCTGTTGCTTGTCCCTTTGCAATGGCTTTTAACAGCATTAGAGGAACAACAACTTCAGAGCTCGAAATCATGTGTTTCTTCACAAAACAAGTTCACCCCAGATCAGCCATGTGACCTGTTCCAGCAGCGCCCAGCCCTCTCACCCCAGTCCTGATGGAGTAGCTGAGCTGTTGGGATGGAGAAGGAATTCCTCTTCTAAGACCTTCCTGATACTTCTCTCAAGTTTGGGGCCTGCTGTGATGGTGAATCCTACCGCCCACCCGCCCTGCCCTGTCCCCCTTCCCTTAAAAACCAGATACTGAAAAGTAAATGTTAAAAAAAAAATCCAAGAAGCTAGGAATGTGGCTTAGTGGTAGGGTGCTTCCCTAGCATGCCTGAGGCCCTGGGTTTGAATCCTTAGTATCATATAAACCAAAAATAAATAATAAAAAATATTCCACTGTACTGCCTAAAACTTCTTTTTAAAAATCCAAATCCATGCCCATGTAATTGTAACCCCTCTGTACGGTATTTTCATAATAAAAAAATAAAAAAATCCAAATCCACCCAACAGAGAATTCAATGTACAGGTTCAGGATAAAATAAGTCAGAGATGCTTTTTTGCCATGGTGAATAAAACAAATTGGGATGGTAAGTTTTCTCATAGGTAAAGCTGACATAGAATTTAAACTGCTTTCTAGCTTACTATAGACTGAACTTAGAATGCTTCTCATAGTATTTTTTTCTATCTTGTGCATGAATAATATCACATGTAGGTCTGTTCATTCCATTCACACCTAATCCAATTATATCATTCAACGAATACTTTAGGGATGATTATGCCCTCATTAATTTCCATGAAAAGTATTTCTTTAGAATTGTCTGTGTGGTGGCTGCGTCCATGTAGACTCTTGGTGGTTTCTGTTATCGTAGACACTCATTTTGTTGGCACTCTGTCCACTGAGGACCAAGTTGCACCGGGGTTTCCAGCCGGGCTGTGTGGGTGTCTGGCGTTGGAGATGTCCCAGAGGGATGAGGACAGCGCACCTCCACTGTATGGCTTCCTGCAGATGCCCAGAGTCAGGAAGTTCACTGCATTTTCAGTGGCACCTAGTGTTCCCTTGGCGTCTAACCTGGGCCCAGCACCGCTGTCGCAGAAGTAGCGAGAACAGGGGCTCTGGGCTGTGACCCCACATCACCGCGTAAAGCTGGCACGCAGCAGAGCTGCTGTCTCGAACCTGGAATAAATCTGAGTTCTCTACAATAGCTTACAGCTCTGTTTCTGGTTTTCTAGTGATTAATTGGAGGTAAGAGTCTCACAGACTTACGTGTCCAGGCTAGCTTTGAACGGGGATCCTTGGATCACAGCTTCCCAAGTAGTTAGGATTACAGGCATGAGCCACCAGCACCCACCTTGAGTTATCTATTATATACCCCAATGTGTGTGTGTGTGTGTGTGTGCACATGTGTGCGTGCATGTGCATGCTGGGGCTTAAATTCAGGGCTTTGCATGCTCCCTTACCTTTTGTTGCTCAAGGCTGGTGCTCTACCACTTAAGACACAGCTCTTTTCAAGGTTTTGTTTTTTTTTTTTTTTTTTTTTACTGATTACCTGTAGATGGACCTTTTGGCTTTGTCTTCCTGGGTTGGCCTCAAACCATGATCCTCAGAATTCAGCCTCTTGGGTAGCTAGATTACAGGCCTGAACCACTGTGCTGAGCTTCCTTGGGCTCAATCTTTTATTTTTTTACTATATTCTTTTTCTTGCTTATTTAAAATATGTTAGGAAAAATATCTTTGTCTGAAATGTTGGTTGTGAATCTCCTCTCCCCAGTTTTTATTTACCCCTTAGCTTTAAAAAATGTGTTCTAACATGCAGCCTTTACAATTTTTTTGCAAGCAAATCCCTCTTAAGTTTATAAAAACAGAATTTTCCACATACTGAATTCATGTGCATTTTAATGCATTTAATGCTTGCAACATTGCATTTGAATGATGATTTTTTTTTCCTGCTGGAATTGTATTATTTGACTTTAAAGAAATGTAATAAAATATATTTCCCAAAGAGTTCAGGTGAGATCAGTGTGGGTTTAGAAATGGATTGTATTAAAGAACACGATATCTAGCTTGTTTGTACTCCTGAGGTTTTGCCTGGGGAATGTCTCTAATTAGCACATTTACCATATGCCTTGGAAATGGACACATCTAAAAAGAGTTTAAGACAACTTCAGTTTAAGAGGAACCTTCATTCTATTACTAGCCTGTTTGTATGGTTGATTACTGTTTAGCACTTCTGAGCATATCTGCTATACGTGTTATATGTATCCAGCCTTGCCCAAGCCCACACCCTACTATCACTCTCTTAGCCCAGACTTAGAGAAATGTTTTGTTAATGACCTTGTTTATGTGATATACCTATCTCTATCTCATCTGTCATATCTATCAGTCTCTCTTCAATCATCTATCTATCCATCTATCTACCTACCTACTTACCTATCTTTCCTCTAAAAAACAGCAATGAGCATCAATAACCAATTTAAAAACTATTTCTTAAAAAACAGTGGGTTGCAGCTCAAGGATTCCCTACTTTGCTTGCAGACTTTCAAGGCATCATGTATTATACTGTGTAAATGTTTAAACAGTCTCAATGAAGAAATTTAGATTTTTTTTAAAAAAAGTTATTGGAGAAATGTGCTTCAAAGGCATTTATACAATTATAAGAAGGATTTTTCCATTGATCAAAAATGGCTGCAGAAGTCCAAGGGCTGGTTCTCTTTACTGATTTCTTCTCAGCAACCTCCCTCCCCCCAGAAGTCTCTGGTTTGCTTTACTAAGTGGTGAACCTACAGCTTGATTTAACAGCTGTAACTTAAGACTGTCAGCGCTGGTTTCTTTGAGTGAAGGCTGCTCGGCTGCTCTTTTTCCAATAAATAGAGTCCTTTTTTTTTCATATTAAGCACACAATGATTCCCTTTGAAACATGTAGTCTGAACACTAAACACTGGGCCCATTGTCTCTGAAACAATCAATGCTACACTCAGCCCTTAGAAATGGTGACCAGTTTGCTCATATTCAAGAACCATAGAAGTCTTACACATGTAGAAAAGTGACGTACAGCTGCATTTTTAATAGTGCTGCATGTAAGTGGGTGGCTTACCTCTGCGAGATGTGAGAGTGCACCCCAACTGCCAAATAACTTGCAGGGGTCCCCTTTGGACTGCTCCCTATGTTTATTACTAATGCAACCCAGTGGCTTCAAATAAAATAAGAAATTCCTGTGTATTTACTTAGTGTCACATACATATAATAAAAACTCAACTCTGTCATATACATTCTGGAGGAAATGTGGCATTTAAAATTAGGGGATCTTTTGTATTAGTTTTCCTGGAAGCTAACACTGAATTGAGGATTTATGTGCAAATGGATATTAATTAATTGCTCGGAGGAGAGACAGGTGAGAGAGGAAGAGAAGTAGATGGGTAAGAGGAAAATCATCTAGGTAAAGGTACAATTTCAGGCAAATTTGTAGCCTTAGCTGGGAGCTGAGCTTTTACAGAGGAGGGGGAGGTTGGTTTCAAGCCCTTAGATACTCCCAGCTCACTGCACAGGTGGGTAAAATGGCATCTCTGGTGAGGGCAAGCTTCTAAAGTTACTCATAGGTGTGGCTCCCCATACAGTAGCACAGAAAAGCTTGTGTCAGGCCAGGTGAGTGCTGAGAGAAAGCAGAAGAGATCCCATCCAGTACCAATGGTTGTTTGCTACAGAACTTTCTTTTTCTTTCTTTCTCTTTCCCTCCCTCCCTCCCTCTCTCTCCTTCCTTCCTTCATCCTTCCCTTCCTCCTTTCCTCCCTCCCTCTCTCTTTCTTTTTCTTTCTTTCTTCTTTTGTCCCTTCATGCTGCTGTTCTGTTTTACTCTGTCTCTGTCTCTCTGTCTGTCTCTGTCTCTCATTGAGACTGGATCTTTTGATATATAGCTCAGACTGGCCTGGAACCTCTTTATGTAATACAAGTTAACCTTGGACTTGATATCCTCCTGCTTCAGACTGCCTAGTGGTCCCATTATGAGTGAACTCTTCCCCACCCCCACACTGGACATACTGTGCTAGACTGAGTCATTGTTTCTTACCATAGTGAGGATATTACTGTTGTTAAGACATCACTTACTTGACATTATCTTTCTACTGTGACTTCAGTTTGAAAAGTCTTTTCCTAGTGGTTAATGTTCTGATATTTAATTATGATGATTCTAAGTATTAAAAAATTGTTATGTATTCTACTTGGGAATCACTGAAACTACATATTAGTTTCTTCTTACCAGTTCTAAAAAACTCATCATGAGTTCTTCAGATTTTACCTCTTTCCATTCTGTTTTTCTTTTCCTTTGGGAAGTCCAGTTCTATTTGTGTTAGACTCTTACTTGACTTTCTATGCCTCTACTTTCATGCTCCACTTGTTTGTGTCTTTAAGGAGCAGGCCAAATCAGTGCTTCACAACTATCTAACATTCTGCTAATGCTTTAATCTGTGTGTAATCTTCTGGCTCAACTCCTTCACAGAATGTGTTTCATTTCTATCATTTTATTTTGCTACTAGGAACACAGTTTAGCTGTCATCCAGATCTGCTTATTTTAATAGTCTTTGCTCTTTAATCAAAACTTTAAGTACTTTATTTCTGAGGATAAATTAACTTTTTTTTTACATTCTGTGTTTATGAGTTCAACATCTGGACTTTTGATTTTGTTGTCCATTATTTATTATTGGTGGCTTTCTCTTATGACAGCTTTATTTGGTTGATTGGTTTTGATTGGGCGCCGTTCAGAGTCCTTGGAGTTGATTCTGGAAGAAGTTATTTGTGGTCTGTGTTCAGGTTTACTTCATTTAGAAAAGATTTACATTTACTTCTTCTTTCTTACTGAAATCCCAGAAGGACGACATTAATTCTCAGCTTCAGGTGTGTTGGGCTTATCCAATTAGTGAATATTTCTGACTCCTGTGAGTGTCTGCTTGTGAAATAGGTTTATTTCCTTCTTGTCTCTGCGATTGCAAATAGGCAGTGCCCTGGGTGTGTGAGGTGAGTTCAGTCCTGCTTATCTTATGCTTATGACTGGGGAATGCTTTGGGTATGTGTTTGTTAACCAGAGCCATCTTCCTAAGATTGGGGGCCTAGGAGAATAAGCCAAGAGCACCTGGATTCTCGAAATGCCTCAAAACAAAACAAAGAAAACAACAGCCACCCAGATTTGGTCTCTATCTCTTTAGTTTTTTCCCCCCCTCCTTCCTTCTAGCTTTTGTTTTCTGCAGATGGTCTGTTTTCTTATTGATTTGAGTATTAAAAATTAGTTTTTTTCTTTTTTTTTTTAAAAAAACTGTTGTATCCAACGTGTTTTAGTGATTTTTGTGAGAAGACTTAATCATCCTTGTTTTTGTTGTTGTCGTGGTGGTACTGGGGAAGTCAGGATTTAAAAAAACATACCATGAAAAGCAGTTTTATGTTTGCTTTGAATAAAATTTTGAATGATGTCTGCAACAGGTGTACCAGTTAGGTTGTGTATGGTGTTGTCTGTACTATCCTCTACAGCCTTTGTATTTTGGGTGACAAGGTCCAAGATCCTCTTTCAACTCTTTTTTATTTGTCTATTTATTTCCTTATTTATTTATTGTATCTGTCCTAGGGCTTGATCTCAGGGGCTTTGTATTCTTGCTTAGCTTTGTCACTCAAGGCTAGCAATCTATCTCTTGAACCATACCTCCACGTCTGACATTTTGCTGATTAATTGCAGATAAAGGACCCTCAGATTTGTGTGACTAGGTTAGCTTTGAATCACAGTCCTCAGTTCAGTCTCCTGATTTCAGGCTTGAGCCATCGGTGCCTGGCTCTATTTTAGCTTCAGAAGGTAGGTCATGGTATTTCTATTTCTGTGGCATTCTTATCATATCCTTGCTCGAGAAGATCTTCTGCCACCTTTGGCTCAGTTTAGAATTTTGGTTTCCTAATGTATTTTGCCAAGTCTTTCAGAAGTTCTGCCATTTTCTTCCAGAATATATTCATGTAACAAAGACAAGGGCAAGACTGATTTTTTTTTCCTTTCCAGGTATAATTTTGTTCTTCTAACTTGTAGTATTTCCTAGTACCCATAATTGAAATAGTTTTCCCTTTCATGTCTTAGAATGGTTTCTGCTTCAATTACTTTTCTGGGGACATGACGAACCTTGCATTTGCAATTTTTATTCTCCTCCTTTCTGCCTTTTTTAAGCCCTAATATTTCTGACTTCTTTCTTTGAAAAACTATCATCCTTAGGCTTGTTTAGGTTGTGTATTTAATTTTTTTTTTTTTTTTTGGTCAGTCATGAGGCCTGAACTCTGGGCCTGGGCGTTATCCCTCAGCTCTTCAGCTCAAGGCTAGCGCTCTACCACTTGAGCCACAGCACCAGTTCTGACTTTTTTCTACTTATGTGGTGCTGAGGAATCAAACCCAGAGCCTTATGAATGTGAGGCAAGCACTCTACCACTGAACCAACTTCCCAGCCCTGTCTATTTAATTGTAGACATTCTCTCACTGTTTAACTCAGGTTGACCTCAAACTCACAATCCTCCTGCCTCAGCCTTCCAAGTGCTGAGATGACAAATGGAAGCTACCAGTATCCACTGTGCGTGCGTGTGTGTGTGTGTGTGTGTGTGTGTGTGTATGTGTATGTGTGTGTTAATGTGCACGTTGGGGCTTGAATATATAGCCTCAGTCTCACTTGGCTGTTTTCACTCAAGGCTGCCACTCTACCAGTTAAGTTAGACTTCCACTTCTGCTTTTCACTGGTTAATTGGTGCTAAGAGTCCCACAGACTTTTCTACCCAGGCTGACTTTGAATCATGATCCTCCTATCTCAGCCTCCTGAATAGCTAAGATCACAGTATGAACTACCAATGCCTGGTGTACACCCTACTTTTTTTTTTTTTTGATGCCAGTCCTGGGGCTGGAACTCAGGGACTGTGTGCTGTCACTGAGCTTCTTTTGTTTATGACTAGCTCTACCACTTGAACTACCACTCCACTTCTGGCTTTTTGATAGTTAATTGGAGATAAGAGTCTCATGGATTTTCATGGCTAGGCTAGCTTCGAACCACAATCCTAAGAGCTTAACCTCTTGAGTAGCTGGGATTACAGGAATAAGCCACTCACATCTGGAAACCCCAATTTTATTAGCTGAGATGGTTCTAGTGAACTTTTTACTTGGACAGGTCTTGAACGATGATTCTCCTATCACTGTCTTTCTAATATCTAGGATTATAGGAGTGAGCCATGATGCCCATCCACCTACCTTCCCTGACTATTCATGCCTCTTGTTGTAATATTTTTCACTCTATCTATCTTTCTTTCTTTCTTTCTTTTTTCTTTTATTTTATTTGTGAAGATACTGTACAGAGGGGTTACAATTACATGGGCAGGATAATGCGTACATTTCTTACCAAGCATTGCAGCCTCCTCCTTTGGTTTACCCTTCACCTTTCTTTCTTTAATTTTGAACATTTCCATCTATCCAGGCATGACATAATAGCAAATCAGGGTATAAATTATCTATCTCTATCTCTTTATGTATTTAAACAACTTAAATTATTTTAGCAGAAGATTTTTAAGCTGTGGCCTACAGTTTTCTGGGTTTCTGGAATGGTCTGGCAATTTCAGTCTCAACAATGAACACAAATCTACCTATATTGCTTCACACTTATGAAAATTGAGATGCCCTACTCTTATCCATTTTATATATCCAGCCTATGAAAGGATAGTACTGTGGATATTGTATCTACAGAAAGGACAGGCCTAGAGGTTTAATGAGGTGCAATGCACTTTTGGACTTAGGATTTTAGGCACTTCTATCTAGCATTTTGCAATGAGCTTGTAAATTTTAGGCCCAGACAATAGCTCTTCTCTCAGACCTTTGCTTGTTACTGTTTATTGTTTGACCTTTGACTCCTTGCCCTTTTCTCTGGTTTTCATTCTCAACCATTCAGACTTTCTTTCTCTAGGTTCCTGATTCACTGACTCATTTACTTCTTGGGTCTGGGTGAGATATGAGGGGCAAAAGAGAATATCTTTCTAGTCTGATGTTAGTCTGTGTCACCAAATCTCCATACTGGATTTAAAGCTTGCAGGTTGAATAGGAGTCTTCTGTAACCAGATCTGCCATTCTGTCACCAAGACTGCCTATCTTACATTGTGGTAGATGCTTTATCTTTTGCTACCTCTGAGGAAACTAAGCTGAGTGTGCACACTTTCCCATTTTGTTCTGTTTCCTTTGTTTTTCCATGCTTTCCAGCTGTCCTGTTTTGTTCCTGGTGTTTTCTACTTCTTCATTGATGAATACCATCTCTCTGTTATCAGCTTGCTTCTTCTCATCTTGCCCTGCCTACCATAAACATTTTTGGGGGATTACTGTCTTGATTTCTTCGTTGGAATTTTGGTTTTGATGTATATAAAAAAGAAAACCTAGTGATTCTTCTACATCGATTTGCAGGGTTGTAGCCTTACTGAATTTATCAGTTTGAATAACTTTTGTTGGAGTCTTTGGCTTTTGTATATATAAAATCACGTCATTTCCAACAGGGATACTTTGCTCTCCTCTTTTTCTAGTTGGATGTAATTCTTTTCTCTTGCCTTATTGCTCTGGTGAAGATTCTTAGTATTCACCTGAATAAAAGTGGTAAAACTGGACATACTTTCCTTGTTCCTGGTCTCAGTGGAAATGGTTCCAGACTTTTTCTATTCCATATGAGATAGGTTGTGGATTTCTCAAATGATAGCCATTATTGTGCTGAAATATTCTCCTAGACAAAGATCTCAGGTTTTCTTATCAGATAGGCATGTTGGAGTTTACCTTTTTTTCTGCATCTATTGAGATGAGTTTTATCATTTTTTTCTGAGGGTATGCTATATTTTACTTACTAATTTGCATGTCTTTATTCATTCTTTCATCTATGGGATAAATTCTACTTGATTATGATCATAGTTGTTTTTCTAAATATTAATTTGATTTGCTAGTATTCTTTTTGAAAGTTCTTGCCCTTATGTTTATCAGCTACCTGATCTGTAGTTTTCTCTATTTGTTGTATTCTTGTCTTATTTTGGTATCCAGGTATTACAGGATGAATGTAAATGCTTTGGAATTGTTTTCTGTGTCTTTATGGTTCAATTTTGGAAAGTTATATATGTCCATAAATTTATGCATTTCTAGGCTTTCCAATTTGTTGGCATGTAGTTGTTCATACTAGTCCCTAAGAATCTTTTCTATTTCTGGGGTATTGTCCCTAATGTCTCTTTTTTCCTCTTTGATTTCACTTGTCTGTGTGTTCTCGCTTCTTTGTTTCCAGTTCTGGAGCTTGGACTCAGTGCCCCATGCTCTCACTTAGCTTGTTTGCTCTACCCCTTGAACCATGCCTCTAGCCCTGTGTTTGTGAATAGTGTACATAGAAATTTGCCAACTTTGTTCTTTTTTCTTGATTAGTCTAGACAAAAGTTTGTCAACTTGGTTCTATTTTCAAAATATCAATTCTTTGGTATTTTGCAATTTTTCATAATTTTCTATTTTATTTGTTTTTGCTCAGATTTTCATTATTATTTTCTTCAATCAATTTTGGATTCAGTTTATTCTTTTCTAGTTCTTTGAGATGCATCATTCAATGGTTCATATAACTTTTTTTAATGTAAATACTTGTTGTTATAAACCTCTCTCTCTCTCTCTCTCTCTTGCCAGTCGTGGGGCTTGAACTCTGGTCCTGGGCACTGCCCTGCACTCTTCAGCTCAAGGCAAGTGCTCTACCTCAAGCCACAGTGCTACTTCCAGTTTTTTAGTGGTTTATTGGAGATCAGAGTCTCATGTACTTTTCTGCCTGGGCTGGCTTTGAACCATGATCCTCAGATCTCAGCCTCCTGAGTAGCTAGGATTACAAGCGTGAGCCACCAGCTCCTGGCTAAACTTCTCTCTTAATATTGCTTTTACTGTATATCACAGATTTGACTGTACTGTGCTTTCCTTGGCATTTGTCAATAAATTCTTTAAATTCATATTTTGATTTTTTAATTGACCCGTTGGTCATTCAAGTGAATGTTGTTTTTCTATCTAATTTTATAATATCTAAAATTCTTCCTCTTGATTTCTAGTTTTATTCTATGTGCTGGGTGAAAATATAGGGTGTGATTTGAACTTTAAAAAAATATTGTTGACTTTTTTGTAGCCTACTATATCCTGAAGAATATTCCATGTGTTGACAAGACTGTATATTCTGCAACTATTGGAGAAAATGTGCTACAAATATCTGTGAGTGTAGTATGGACTCTGATGATTGCCTGATGATAATTTTGTTGGATGAGCTATACATTGACAGAAAGTTGTATTGAAGTTATTTATTTATTTATTTTTGGTCTGGTCATGGGGCCTGAACTCTGGGCCTGGGCGCTGTCCCTCAGCTCTTCAACTCAAGGCTAGGGCTCTACCACTTGAGCCACAGCGCCACTTCCAGCTTTTTTCTTTTTTGCTTATGTGGTGCTAAAGAATCAGGTGCTAAGGGTCTCAGGCGCTCTACCACTGAGCCACCTTCCCAGCCCAGTATTGAAGTTCTTGAGTGATTACTGTAGAGACTATATGGAATTTTATATCTGATAATGTTTGATTTATATACTTGGGTATTCTAGTGTTGAGAATGCACATACACACAATACAAATTTGTATATATACTCAATAATCTATATTTAATAGTTACTCTTTGCTCTTGTCAAGTAGATTTTTTTGTCAGAGTCTACTAACACTCTATCTCTTTCTTCCTCTCTCTCTCTTTCCCTCTCTCTCTCTCTTTTTGTCATGGGGCTTGAACTCAGGGTCTGGGTGCTGTCTCTGAGCTTTTTTTTTTTTCTCAAGGATAGTGCTATACCACTCTGAGCCACAGCACCACTTCTGGTTTTCTGGTGGTTAATTAGAAATAAGAGTCTCAGACTTTCCTGCCAGGCTGGCTTTGAACTGCAGTTCTCAGGTCTCAGCCTCCTGAGTAGCTAGGATTACAGACATTAGCCAGTAGTGTCTAGCTTTTTATCTCTTTAATAGTAAAAAATATTCATATGCTAAACAAATTACAGGAATATTATTGCCTTTTATGTTTGGCACATTCTGAATGGGTTTGGAAAATAGATTAAAATTATAAAATGGAAAAAAGTCCTCTAAGTTAATTGGAAATAAGTTAATCTTAGCTGTGTTTCTTCTTATGCCAGCAGTTTATAAACTTTTAAAGTTCCTAATGTCATTTTTCCCCACCTCAGCAGGAAAGAAGAAATATGGTATATTGATGTGCAAATCTCCTACATAAAATGCAGCCATTTTGTTTCAAGTCCTTCAGAATGGAAATGCTGTCTCCTGGGACACCTTTTGGGGATTGAAAAAGACTTATTTACATCCGAAAATGCTAATTTTTCTCTTGGTGTTATTCTGGTTTATTTTCCAGGCACTGGCGCTTCCTCACCCGGCAGATGGATTCTGCACATCTGGATGATGGGCAGTATCCTGCAGGCTCAGCATTTAGTTGGGGTCAGATGAAAGGGTATTTTCACATCCTCCTCTGTGCCAAACAACTTCTCTCAGGTGCACTAGCCAGTTAGTGAGATTACCACGTGCATGTTCCTTCAGTAAAAAAGGTAAGTACAGCATCATGTGTTGCAGGTCAAAATAATGACATACAAGTAACTTCTCTGCTTCTGTACTGGTGGTGGTGGCAGAGGGGCCATACTTTTTGCTTTTTCTAGTTTGGATTCCAGGGTAATGATGATAATGTAAAATTGTTTTTCTGTTTATTAAAACCCAAAGGTTGGAACCCATCTGACAAATCCATATATTTAAGCTATATCAAGGGAAAAATACAAGTCTAACCCGAAGACAGTAAAAACCAGTGCTGATTTTTTATAGTATTCTTTCAGAGATGGTGAAAGGCTTTCAATGTGCACCTTAGAACAAAACTTCCTGAAAGTTGTCTTTAAGCATTTTCGTCCCTAAGGTTTCACCCACATGAGAACCGCTGCTCCCCCTCCCGATTTCCTCTCTTTTCCCACCCTTTGCCTAAACTCTTTATCTTTCTTGCATCCCTTTGGAGTTCCATCAGTATATCTCAGGAAATGAAAATCTGGTCTTTATTCATCCATAGCATGCCAATTGGGAACGTGCAATGATCTTGCCAGTCTATTATGGAACAGGCACTGAATTAGGACTCAGAAGACTTCTGTTACCAGCAGCTGGTGCGCTTCAATAAATATATTTAATGAGTCCATCTTCCTGATAAAATAGGGCTAGCAATATATACCTTACCTAAGGAATAAGGCTGTGTGAAAGCCAAATTCAATGATGCACATAGTGCAAGCACTTTGTGAGCTATCAAAGGATTTTGTGTAGCTGAGTTTTAGAATCAGAATGTGGTAGCTTGGGTTATTAGAGTTATCTAGACCTACCCTTTAACAAAAGGGAAAGCAAAACCCCAGAAGTGGTGTAATTCACCCATGGCCATATAGACAGGTAGAAGTGAAATCAGCTTAGGACATTAGAGCATTTCTCTAACATGAGAGCCTAGAGTTAGAATTAATTTTTCATCTCTTCAACAATGTTCCAAGCCCCAGTTGATCATATGGCTTTCAGTGTTGTGGGTGATACTAGCAGGTCAAGTTGGAAATGAAAGAACAGAGTCAAAGATATTACTGGTAGTACACAACAAAGACAACATAAGTAAGGGTGCTTATGAGGGAAAGAAAGATGAATTGTTGAATCAGGACACACACACCCTCTTTCTTCTCAATACTGGGGCTTACACTTTGAGGTCTTACCTTCTAGCTTGGCTTTTTTACTGAAGGCTGGCACTCTACTACTTGAGCCTCAGCCCCACTATAAGCTTTTTGCTGACTAACTGGAAATAAGAGATCATGGAGTTTTCTGTCTGGACTGCTTCAAACTATGGTCCTCAGACCTCAGTAGTTAGGATGACATGTGGGAGCCAGCAGTACCTGGCTGGTTAAGGACTCTGAGAGTTGGTAGCTTTTATTATCTTCTCTACTCTCGAATGCTACACAAAGACCCATTTTGTTCAGAATATTTATTTCACTTGAATGATTAGTGGTAAGTTGTTCACTCAGATTATATTCCTTAATTTTTCAATATGACTTACGGCTCTACAATGGCTGTAGACATTTGTCAGTAATTCATTTACTGGAACAAGAAAGTTTTCCCTTACCCATGAACCATGAGAATCTTCTTTTCACTGAAGTTTTACTTTAACAAAGCCAGTGATTATGCACTTGGTAAGCTATTTGGTTTATAGTGTCCAGATTCTCGCAATCTGCCTGCATAATTGCTTATCTTTTAGTCTTGCAGTTCTGTTCTACTTGGGTGAATAAACTACAGATAAGGCAGATGTCCAGAACATTCTCCTCTTGTAACAGGCAATGTCAGGAGAGACATGGGTGGCCAGTTGGTGGCTAGGTAAGGAGCCGGTACTCTCCAGGTATTAGCTTGATATGCATTAGAAATGATAGCTGTTTACTCTTACATCTTTGCTTTTGTTTTTCCCATGTGAGGTTCATGTGATGTGTGCTCTGAACACTCTATGATCAAGTGCTGCCATTTTTCTTGAGCAATCTTTCCAAGTGAAGTTTCATTACCTCTTTTTTTTTTTGAAATGATACTCTCCATCTGTTTTTGTTGGCAAAGTAAAGAACCATTGCTAGTACCCAACTAAAGTTCTGTAGGCTGACTTTCATTACTATGTCACTGAACATTTCTAATTATTGTGCACAATTTACTCCAGGAATTAAAAAAAAATCAAGGTTCATTTTCTTGAGATGCCACATCTCCAACTACCCTATAGACAGCAGTTTTTAATATGAGGAGTAATTCACTGCAGAGTTCTGTGTAAAAGGTGAAAGTAATAAACTCATTCAAGTTCGTACCTTGAACACTGGGCTAGAGTATGTATGCATCACTCTGATTAAAGCATGTAGCTTGAAGACACATTCTGTTTAGATTATTTTGAAATTCTCATGTGTTCTCTCATTACCTCTTGAACTGTTGAACCCTTCTCCTCAGAATGGTTTGAAGTCTAGTCTGAATTCATCTGCTCCTTGCTAGATTCACAACTCACCACAATTAATTTCATTTGACACAAAACAGATTTCGCAAGGGACCTTTTCAATTACAACACAATTGAACATTTTTTTTTTGGAAAAACAAAAGCCACTTCCACAGAAGGGAGAAGTGAGGGCAGGTCTTGAGAATGTTTTGAAGGAAGAGAAATGACACATTCTATGCTCAGGGTGTGGGAAAGGGGAGAAAGAGGGTATGGGAGAAGGAGAGAGAGTACACAACTTTGCAGGTGCTGAGGTATGAAATCCCCTTGGGTCTAGTCACCCTGGTACTAGGTCCTGGTACTTATGGGTATGTATAATATCAACATAAACAAAGAACAGAATGATGTCTGGGCTATGAGTTGAGAGGCCCACATGTGTGTGACTTGAAGTAACATGGATCAGGACAGGACAAAATATGGCTGCATTTCTTCTTTCATCTTTTTGCCTCTGGAGTTTTATTTTAATGGTATCAGTGGTGAACCAATGATACGTTATTTGCTCAGATTCTGACAATCTACCCACATATGTTCTTGTCTTTTCATCTTGACTTCTCTACTAGCTGAATGAGTAAACTTCAGATGAGGTTTGTTTCCTCTCATAGAAAAGCCTGAATTGAGGAGTCTCTGCTTGGCAGTAGAGTACCTGCCTAACAAGCACAAGGCCTTGAGTTCAAACCCCAGTACATGCACACACACACACACACACACACACACACACACACACACACACACACACACACACACAAAAAAACAGAGAGAGTTGTCTACCAAGTGGCACAATTCTTTACCAAAACCTTGAAACCTGTCAACCTTCTGACAATGAACTCAGAACCTTGGGCTTTTTAAGTGAGCACTGTACCACTGAGCCATGCCTCTAGCTCCCCAAATTGTTTTTTAAAAGTTCCACTGTTGGGCTGGGCACTGGTGACTCACTCCTGTAATCCTAGCTACTCAGGAGGTTGAGATCTGAGGCTCGCAGTTCAGAGCCCAGGCAGGAATGTCTATGAGCCTCTTCTCTCCAATTAGCTGCCAAAAACCTGGAAGTGGTGCTATGGCTCAAGTAGTAGAGCGCTAGCCTTGAGCTGAAGAGCTACAGTGCCCAGGACCAGAGTTCAAGCCCCACAATGACCACCACCACCAACAAAAAGTTCCACTGTTGGTGGCTCATGCCTGTAATGCCAGCATTTAGGAGACCAAGACAGAAGGACAGCAAGCTTAGGATGAGCTGTAGAGAGGGACTGTCTTTTAAAAAAAAGTGATTTTTTTTAATGATATAAGCTGCTAGTACAGGAAAAATCCTTTAGACAACAGGAAGCCTGTAAGATTCCCCTTAACCCTAAAACACAGAGAACTCATCTTCTAATTGTAAAGAGTGCCAGTTTTATTATGTTTGAGTTAGAATGCAGACAAATCCCATAAAAATGGTAAAATATCAATATTTAGGTAACAGAGGTTAATAGTATTCTGCAAGATGGACAGAAACCCAGCAGCCTTTAGGCTGAGCTCTCTCTCTCCTTTAGGAAGAAGAGCTTATTTTAACAATCTCTTGTCAGCCTTCTGCATCTGAAAGCTGAATTGCTACATTTTTTTCCTCTTTGTATGGTACTGGGTCTTGAACTCAGAGCCTGAACTCTGTCCCTTTGCCTTTTTGCTTACTGCTGGCTCTACGTCTTAAGCCACAACTCCACTTCTGGCTTTATGCTAGTTAATTGGAAATGTGTGCCTCATGGACTTTCCTGCCCAGGCTTTCCTTTGAACTGATATCCTCAAATCTTAGCCTCCTGAGTAGGATTACACCAATGTTCAGCATTCTACTTGTTTTGAGTGAGACAAATATGTATATTCTAGATGAGTGTATCTAGACATAAGACTTAAAATCTCAGTGTTTTACAGTGTTCAATTAATTAGATATTACTTTGCTGTATACTTTCTCAAACTAATATATACATTTTTATTTTTTATTTATTTTATTTTTTATTTTTTGCCAGTCATGGGGCTTGAACTCTGGGCTTGGGCACTGTCCCTCAGCTCTTCAGCTCAAGGCTAGCTAGCACTCTACCACTTGAGCCACAGCACTACTTCCAGTTTTTTCTGCTTATGTGGTGCTAAGATATTGAACCCAGCCTCATGCATGCAAGGCAAGCACTCTACCACTGAGCCACCTTCCCAGCCCAATATATACATTTTTAAAAAGGTCATGAAAGTTATACATGAGAGTATAAATTCTGAATATAAGCTTAAGGAAGCAAGTATGGGTATGACCCCTAAACTCTTTCATATGATCTGCTTAGAGGTGAAGAAGAACATCATGGGAAGTCTTGACCTTGCAGTCACACTAACCAGCCATTACTCCAGATTTACTGCCACTATGAACTGGAGCCTTAAATTCTACATTGTTAAAGGAAAAGTAGTAATTTTTCTTTCTTTGTGTGTGTATGCCAGTGTCGGATCTTGACCTCAGGACCTTGACAGCCTGGATGCTGTCCCTGAGCTTTTGTGCTTAAGGCTAACACTCTACCACTTGATCCCTAC